CGGAATACCGAATTACCCTTTTTAATGACGCTTTAAATCATTCGGCGGGGTTGGGGGAGAAGATATCTAAGGCGCGTATAAATCGTTCACGTGCATGTACAATAATATATGCAAAATGTAAAAGCGGTGCGTAATGGATATACGATATTGTTGGGCAGAAATCCGACCATACATAAGACGTTTAAATGCAGGGAGGCAATTTGTCGTTTAGCTCCCGCATTTTTTCACCATCCTCTTTGCGCCGCCCTCTTGTGAGACATTTTTTCCAATATAAGTTCCAGCACAAGTGACACGGTGGCGAGAGGTCGGCAAATGTATTTTCTACACAATAAATGAACGTTCCCTCGACAAGTCGACATACCATTACATTAATATTATAATAGCGCTCAGTGTGGGGTCAAAACTTTTGCATACCGCTGTTGTCTTGTGACCGCGATGAATCGTACCTGAGCGTTAACGTCAAAATAGTGAAGTGTTCATTTTGCCTGAAACAGAGTTGAAAAATCCAGACGACACAATATTGGAAGAGTACGAATTTTTTCGTCTCAAATTAACTCAAGTTAAAATAACTATAATTTTGTAAAAAAAAAAAACTCTAAATTCTACTAAGATAATGTTTACCGAACAGTTTAATTAACAGTTTACGAGTAACTCGATTAACGATACACATCACAATGTCACATCGCTTGAATTTACAAAGTTTATGTACACCGCATCAATTTAAGTCGTGCAATTACATAATATAATCTTTGTAGAGTTTAGTATAAATTAATTATACGTTTTTGGATATGTTTGTTAACTTTAACATGACAAGTTCATAATATAAGCCTGCAGGAAGGTGGGAGTATAAGGTACTAGTATATTTTGAATATACTCAGTTAGTCAGTAGTCTTCCGCTGTTGTGGCTATACTGACTGGCTCGCTTACTAGTTATTTCCTACCACTATTTATGCGTCCTTGAAAGCACCGTGTTATCTCGACCGGGGGGTGTTGTATGTCGGCCGTCATGTATCATGTAGCTTTCTTGTATACTGTGTTTTTTTTTTTGTATTTACATATTGGCAAATTGCTCTTTTTTTTCTGTATCGGCAATTTTTTATTTATTTTGACAACAACACGGTGCTTTCAAGGACGCGTAAATAGTGGTAGGAAATAACTATAAAGCGAGCCAGTCAGTATAGCCAAGACAGCGGAACGGTCAACATGGCTCCGATGATGTACTCTGTAATAAATCCTAAACGTCAGCACATAACTGAAGACATGGGTATATCCAAAAATTATCCACATAATATTTCAATCCATGAAAACTTTAACACAATAAAAGAACAGTTATTAATAATTTGTTTATATTATTATTTAATCAATAAATTCAGTGTACCAGTCATTTTTGAGATCAGAAAAAAATCCATTCTTAGCTTACCCCTTTCAGTATAACCTTTAAAAGTGCAAATTAAAACTTCGTATTACACTTTATAACTGCAAGGGCCCTATGCAATAACAATAATGCTCCAATTTTTTGGAATTTTTCGACACTATGAAAAAATTGTTATCCCTTTTAGGTGATGTTTATTGCGTTATGTGATATCTTTGTGTTAGTAAATAATAATCTGATTTGTGTGTTTGTTACACTAAAACATAGATTATTTTCCAACTATGGTACATTTTTCCGCGATAAAAATGTTTAACAAAGATCTTGACAACGAATATTGTTTTGCAGTGTGTGTTCGCAGAGAAAATATATTGATTATAAATCGGAAACGATAGGCTTTCGATATAAGTTTGGGATTTTGAGACTTCATTGCGGACACTTGTACATTGAAAATCAATTGCGACAGGGCCACGAGCTGAATATTGACACGTAAATGAAGAATCCCACGTGAAATTTAGAACCGTCAAAACACACACAGTCGACGAGTCATCTGTGTCTTGTTCCTATTTCAGTAATTTTTCTCCCGTTTCCGTGCCTCGAGGCCGCCACCACAAGAAGAATTCATTATTATCAACCTCATCCCTGGTGTATATATCCTGTAACACGGTATAATCATACTAGGTCAACATAATAATATGCTAATATATCAACGTGAGTCGTCGGTGATCGTACTTGCGCAACTACTGCACGTTTTCGTCGGGCTTATTATAAGGACATCAGTTTTGGTTGATAAGACTGGACAACTCTCATCACGCCAGTCTATACATACTATTTCCTATGTTAATGTTTGACCATTTGGTGCGATTTTATATACATATACACCTACAAGAGTAGGCGTCGTTTTTACTTAATCGAGGTCTGGTAAATTACCACCACGTATCTCGGTTGAAATCTGCACCAACGGCATAATAAAAATATTCTCTACTTAAAATAATTCTTTCCTTTAGCAGTGAAAATGTTTATAAATCGTTAATGTTTAGATAATAATGTGAATTTCAGCTATGCAGTGATTAGGAACTTTAAGATAATTATATTGGGATATGCCGAATTAGCCGGCTTTTGTATTTAACTTTTTTTAATCTAACAATAAGTAAAAAAATTAAAAATGATTTTAATAGTAATGAGCGTAGTATAAAGCGTGTATAAACGTTTTGTAACAGTAGCTTTACTATTTATTTGGATTAAAAATACAAATTAAATCCAGATAATCTCTATAAACCGGATATTTCAAAAACTAGTTCTTCAGTTTTACCCCTACATAATATTTATTTACAAAATATAAATATTATTTGAGATCATTAACAAAACTAATGATTTGTAACCACCTATGTTTATATAGGGAAAACTATTTGTTACAAACTGGTGAAATATTATTTTATTATAGACCTATTATCATAAAATAAGGACAAAGGGTACGTCTATTACTAAATAGTACAAAAAACGATATGCTTCGTGTGTCTGCTGCTGCTCTTTTCCCTTCACAGGGTTCCCTTTTTTTTTCATTAGAAAAAGAAAAACAGAAATTGTATTTCCATTAACTGTACCGTGTCGGCCCTATTTCTCTATACGGCAGATCCATTTAATTTTGTATTTTTTGTTTTGGAGACCTTTTTAGTTATGTAATTTTAATAATTTGACTGCATTATTAAACAGTACTCAATTTTATTTTTTGGAAAATTCTAAAATTTTATCAAATTTTAAAACTCTGTAAAGAAAATGGTATCGTATATCATTTTAATTAAGTTTTTTAATTGAAAATAATATACTAAAATGGTCGACCGGTCAATAACCAATTTTGAATCATTTTTGTTAAAGTTATTAGTGTTATGTTTATTTGCGCTCATCACCCAACCGTACGGCACCTCCAAGACAATTTTCAGCAAGTTATCCGTAATTTGGTTAGGCTCGGTTAATTCCCAGGGAATAAACCCACAACAAACTACCTCTGAGGCCACAAGGTATAGTCAACTCTCTGACACAACAAAACCAACTTACAGATTGGTTCCAGGGCCATGTACAATTATTATTCTGAATGTAAAAAAAAAAAAGGTAGATTAGGATAATCTAAATACTACTCGAACCACAATTAACATTGTACGGGTTAATGAGAGTGGAAAAAAAACGTAACAGCATTCTGTTAAGCCGAATTGAGCTTAACGTGTGCGAACCGACTGTGATACAAGTAGCTCATCCCTAGTATTGCGTAGTAAAAAAAAAGGAAAATCACGCTGGGGAAAGCGAATATTAAAAAAAAAAAAAAACCGTCAAGTGTAACTTTCTTCGTTGGAGCGTGGCGGCAATGGGCGGCTCTCTATTGGAAAAGTCGGTCTATTAATCAAACGACCGGGTGGCGGACGGACGCCGCCCGGTCTGATGACGGCACTTAGGGACTGAGGAAAAAAATGTAAGAAAAAAAAACGCTCGGCGTTGAAAAGCGTTGAGCGATTGCTTGTTGGCGAGGGAAAAAGCGTAAAAACGTTAAAGAAAATAAGAGAGCACAGAAGGGTAGACGGTAGACGGAAGGCGAACGGGATTTGTGGAGTTAAAAAATAAAATAAAAATAGATATATATATATATATTAAAGTGTTATGTCATATTATTATTATTATAGATATTACAATTATTATTGTTATTCGTTTAAACGATTTGTATTTAGACTTCGTGGATTCCCGTTTTTATCGTCGTTTATTTATTATTATATTCATTATTTATTTATTTTTTTTGCCACAGCCGCAATCTTATCTCGTTCATTATAATATATATAAAAGGCAATCGCGATGGTTATACATTTTGATATTTACACAGAGAGCGATGGCCAGGGAGTTGCGTCATCCCCGGCGCTCCGGGAGTCATTAATCGAAACACCGCAGGACCGCGGAGCCATAATTCATTTTTAGAAAAATACTCTTCATTTCATTTGCCGATATCGGTGTTTTCCGCCGTCATCGGCAACCGACAACAAGGAAACCGCGTTACGCCCACGTCCCTCTCGCTGGCCGCTGAATTAATATTATTGTCTCGGAAAACGGTCGTTATATTGTTTTAATCGGAAGTAATAATAATAATAATAAACCGCGCAACCGAACGGTCGGGAAGTTGATAAAGGAATATAAAAAAAAATAAATAAATAAACTACAAAGAAAATAAATTACAACCATAATGAAAACGACACTATTTAGCTTGACTGAAATAACATTTTTGTTGACTGTACTCTAAGTATAATTGCGATGGGTCACACAGAAAAAGTTCACTTAGACGATTGCTCGTTTAAACGCATCAACTTTCTTGATGTTACTAATATATATATAGATATTAGTATAATAATATGAATTTTAACTAGAAAGTAGAATTTCATTATAACAGCGTTATTCTTATTTTGCGTTTACCGTACTACGACTCTATTTCTGGACAACACATTTAAAAAAATATATATTTACGTAATATGATATCATAATACTGAAAACTTAATACTCAAACTTTCCATGTTTCTCCCTTAACTACTGGAGTTTTTAAAATAGTGTAATGACAATAAAAAAAAAATGTTTAACTTTTTTTCCTTTTTTTTTTCAGCAACATCTTCCATTGATGTCGAAGCTGTTGCGGGAACAGTGGCTTATTTGCCCTGTAATATGACACCAACAACGGCCGGCGACCGCGCTACATTGGTTATTTGGTATAAACGAGGACAGTCAGGACCGATTTACACGTAAGTTGTACATACTATTTTATTTGAATGTAAAACCATAGTTCTTGATGTTTTTTTTTAGTCAAAACTGTAACATTACTTAATGAATTAACATGACCATAGTTAATAATTAATAGCCCGCAGCTCGTACAGAGTATCTGACCTGTTTATTCTATTGCTGTGGAAATTTAGCCGTGTCCGACTGAATTTCAAATGCTAGTTATTCTGCAGAAAATGTATTAGTTTTCTAAAGTAAATAACAATCGACAACTGTTGTCAGAGAAGCCGGCTTGGACTTTAAAATGATTGACAGCAGATTTGCATACACAGCTGTTAGGTCCAATTAGATATGCAAGTCCTCTACAGTAAAATTATGATTGAAGCTAATTGTACGTTATTTGGTATAGTTTTCAAGAAGTTCTATTTAGATTGATGAAATAGAAAAAAAGCATAGCACGAGAAAAACACTAGCCTTATTTGTGCTAAACTGCATAATTAAAAAATGTGTATTGTTAATAATTCAGTGCAAAAGTAAGGGTATTCTTATTTAACTACATAGACTTTGGCTTACCTACTTACTACATACATTCATAATAATACTTTCCTATATTCCTCTATCTCGAATAAAAATATTTTTTTCTTATTTCTCTGTAAAATTCTATAGGTACGTTTATACCTAACTGAGGTGGTTTCTCACGTAACACGATCAGTTTGAAAAAGTTATTATTTTTTGGTTACGGATTCATATAGTTTAGACGACTTTTAATTGCATTTTGAACGAGCCAAGTTTAGCAGTCATCGTAAATGCGTATGTGAATCGCTCATCGTTGAAATTTCTTCCAGTCTTGTGAACTAACGCTAGATTTTAAACAACTTTACTAATAAAACAACTTGCTAGACTCTAATACACAGTGTCAGCGAACTATGTACATAACCATGGGCTTCGACGTCGCGAAATTCCTGAATATTATTGACAAACGCCTTTCTATAGTGCATAAGCTAAAACGCATTACGTCTGTTTAAACTATAGGTAATACAGACAAATCGGATGAAAAAAAATATCAAAGTAAAAAGTCAAGCAATAGAGATCAAGTCAACTATTCGCTCCTACCCATGTAGCCAAATGATTTAAACTTATTTTTGTAACGTTTGAAAGAGGATAATTTTATGTTTAAGAATCATTTCATATTTTTTTATTGAATCCAATTAAATAAAACATGATTTGTCTAACTATTTGCATGTTCTATGCGTTGATCTTAATAATAAAGGAAAAAATTGAAGATAATAAGGCAAATATTTATTTTTAGATAACGAGATGGTAGTAGAAGACCGTTGTGGTCTTATAAAACTTTTATAAAATGTTTAAATATTTTATATTTTTAATTAAAAATATTTTATTTTGTAACGATTATCGTTTGAAGTTTGGCTTTGTGATTTGTAAAAATATCTCTATTTAAACAATTTTAATCAAATTTATTATTAGAACAACATGATTTAGTAATGTTTTTAAGTGATCAGTTGTACGATTTAAAAAAGACTTATTAAATGAATAATGGGAAATATATTCAAATAAATATTAAATACAAATATTGGCCTTAGGCAGTTACCTTGAGGAAGACTGGTAGAGGTTATGCAAGTATTTGTTGAATTAAAGGATCGCATTCTGACAGAGAAAAGACAAGTCACAAAATTGCAAAATTTCACAAGTAAAACACAAGAAGAAAGATATTTTTAAAGAGTCGGAATATGAATAGTATTTTAATTAAACAAGCAAATATTGTATTGAGTAAAATGTTGTATAGTTTATTGAGTCGTATATAATTATGGTATTCGAAAAACTTATATTTAAAAGAACGAAAATGAAGAATATATCATGAACTATTGAATGGATTAAGGTCTATTGTGTACATGCTATGGTGTAAGGCATGTATAACCTGTAGTTTTATTTTATATACGAAGCGTTTACCGTTGTGAATGGTGGCTCCCCGTGGATAAGGTCTGGAGATTAAACCGAGAAAAAAGAAAATCATCGGATTTCAATGTCAGAAAAATGTAATACACAGAGTGGTACTCATTTAGGATGAGACACACATTTTCTTGGAAAATAATTGCAATTTTGTAGTTTATTTTGAAGACATTGTAATATTTTTTATTATTTTACAGTATTTTAAAGCTAATAAACATATACCTTTTTTAATATTTTCTAAAGCTTTGTCGACCATTGAATCTTAAATGGTACTGTATATACTTTATTAATTTATGAATTGAGGATATTTTGCTGTAAATGTTGACTGGTCGATAAACAGTTTTAATAATTATTTTTTAATTTATTACCGTTTAGAATGTAGGGTGGGAGGAAGGGCGGAGCGTAGTATAATTTGTATCTGCACACATTACTCTACTAAACCCTATCCTTAATTTTAAACTTAAATACTCTGAATTTATTATTAAAAACTGGTTATCGACTAGTCGAACTTATTAGAAAATTGTTTTTAACAAGAAAAGTTGATTGAATACATCGCACACTAGCTGGAATGAAAAATTGGATATGCATGAAAATGGTATTTCTGAACATTCATGTCAGCCAGTCTACCTACAACTGGGTAGAATCCTCGAGTTATATGCATTTAAATATTAAGCATGGAAAAAAATTCAGATTAAGAGTAAATTAATAGTGTTTATTTCAAAATGTCATGTGTACAGTTTTATATAGTTGATCTTTTAAGTTTATTCCTTGCCTATATTTGTCTAATGTTTGTACTTGCCTAATGTTTGTGACTAATAGAATATTTACTCCGAATATATTATTACATCCAATTTATTATTGTTATAGCTTATAATAGATATTTTGTATTTTACTGAATTTAAAAAATACCATTTCAGTAACGACAAATATGTTGTTTAATACATTGATTTTAGGCTCAAAATTATTCTAAAATGTTTTACCTTAAACCTTTCGGCGCTTTTTAATAATAATATTTTACTGAATTAACTGGAAACTGTGAGAGTCGCCCAGTGTTTGCTCCAGGAAACAAGATTGTTCGTCGAACGTGCCATATTGTACTACATGTAGACGTTTGCATTAAAATGTTAAATATTATGTATTTTTTTTATATGTGTATGTGTTTGTATTATTACATGACTATAGGCAATATTGTCCTAACAAGGCATCGACATACTTTATTTAGGTATCGAATGTCTAGTAATTAATTGTGGGGGGAGAGTTGTTGATTAAAATACAAAAGAGGGCGTTTTTTTATCTGACAACTATAATATTAATTGGCTTTATTCTACTTTAATATCCTAGTACCAGGAGACCGAGCTTTCTAAGTAAACAAATTGTTTGTTAATTTTTCATATGTGGTATAATTATCTCTAGCTAATATAAAAAAAATTACCCTATGTATATTAGTAGTTAATTTCTACATAGATGAATAGCGCTGTGTAAATGTACAAAAAAAAGAAAAATATATATATATATTATATTGGTATACAATTATTGCTCGCATTATATTATTTTATATGATTGATCATTCGCTATAAAAACGACCAAAGGTACAGTCAAAATTAAATTAACTATATTATGCAGTAGTACTAGTATTCAAATGGATATAACTAGGTAAAATAATTTATGAAAACATAAAATTTATATGACAATGAATTAATCATTATACGCGAATACAAAACATAATTTTATTTAGTTATAGATAAAAACTACTTTAATTGACATTTGTACACTTGCAGGTACGACGTGCGCAAAAGTAGCCTTATTGTTGCCCCCACGGCGGAAAAAGTCGACACGAAGAAAACACAAGGAGCTCATTGGGCCGACGAGAAGGCATTGGACCGCAGAGCTTTCTTTCGGGTCTCAGAAGATCCGGCTATCTTGGCACTTCAGAACGTCAATGAGAAGGACGGTGCCCTCTACAAGTGTCGCGTCGACTTCAAAAAATCTCCTACCAGAAATTACAAGGTCAACTTAACCATAATACGTAAGTATAATAATGATATTCTAATGATATACAAAATAAGTACTTATAGCGCTTGTAGTCGGAATGTACAAATTACGAGGAGCCTAATTTGTACTTCTTTTAATTGAGTAAGCTATGTTTTATTACATCCCAAAAAAATTGATTTTTCTATGGTCAGTTATTTTGTCTATAAGGACAATAAGTACTGTTTAAAAGTCTAATTCGTTGCATTTAAAAAACAATACTATTCTACGTACATTGTCAGCTTTTTAAACACTATGATTATTGATTAAATACATTTTTATTAAATTAATGCAATACAGAAAAAATGAATTTTATACAATATAATTTATTTAAACAAAATATTAAAATTAGAATATTATAATATAATCATATAAAATATTTAAATATAATCAACACTAAGTATGTTTATATTTTATTTTTGCTATTATCAGTTGAACATAGTACCTTATACCCGGATCAGAGATATTCAAAAAAAATTATTTGTAATGATTCATTCATATTATTCAGTTTAGTGGAAGTTATGGTTCTAACGAATCGTTGGGATGCAAATTAAAAATTTGTTTTTTCCTATAAAATATAAGTTTTATAAAAAACGTTTTCCGTCAACCGAAAAAAGTTGTTTTACAGTATTTCCAGAAAAATCAACCCATAGATTGCTATTTATTACCTATATTTACTACTGATAAGGTATCTATCTGTTATAAATAGATTGTTATAGAGTCTCTGTTAGACTAATGGATTTTTCACAACCGCAAAAAAAAAAATTGTACACACCAAAAATAGTCGACTATTTTTTTCTCGTCCCAATATTTTTTTGGAGTGACCAAATACTTGAATAACAATTTGTTAAATATTTTTGCAGCAAATATCAAGGAACGATTATTTTTTTTTTTTATTACATTATTATTTAAAAAATAAATTCGGTAAACCGTACATTTTTATAATTCAACACGAAAGCAACGTTCGATTACTTTTCCGTTAGTTAAACAAATGCTAAAGATTGGCGTTGCAGTTTACATTTGGCTTTAATTTCAATGACTAGGCAAAGCCATTAGATAGAGTAAGAGAAAATGAAACAAACCAAAATTGATTTACGGTTTGCAAGTCCTTAATTTTGAATTTTCCTAGCATAGTACCTTGTTGAACTCGATTCTATTAAATACATTATAAAATTAGTTTCGCTCAACAAACAAAATTATTTTAATCGGATAACATTATTAGTTGACGGTTAGTTAAAATATTTTCCTAACGCACGTGACAGTGCCCAGTAGCGAACATCTTGGAGTCGATGCCAGTGTCACATCATCATCACCGTTTGTTAACACTGTTTGTCGGTCTCGGCTAGATGTAGGCTTATATTATTATTATAGCGTGAAAGGCTCAACAAACTTTATTCATTTATTCAACGAGTTAGGAATGGTGTTTATTTACATTGATTACCATAATAATAATGGTGTTATCGCATCAACGTCAGCTACTCGTCTTGTGTGCTTTGGCGCTACATAGTCCATAGGCTTTGGGATGAATTTGTAAATTTATGAAATAGTAGTGGAACGCATTACACAATACGTGCACACATTACACACACACGAGCGCGCCAATATCAGTGAAAAAAGTTTTGCGTTTTTTGAATTCCATATTTAACTAGTCTTGATCGCGATAAAAATGTAAAAAAAAAAATAGGAATTCATTCGATGAGTCACACGCGTGCCAATGAATACCAAATAACACCAATATGCAATGACGTAGCGAATATAAGTGCAATAATAATAATACGAAAAACAATTAGTCGCAACAACGCAATGTCAAAACAAATTAACTGGCACATGGTACGACGGTCAAGCTTGTGCAACAATATTATCCGGTTTTATGAGAACGACCGTGTTGTAAATATTTTACACACTCGGGGGAGATGTATTGTTATTATTTTTGTTTTGCGATACTAAATTGAGTAATATAATTACACGATATAAGTGTAGGGCTGAGTATAATAAAAGTATATAATATTCGGTAAACTAATAAAGTCGTCCATAAAGACAGGAAAAATAAAATAGCGAATAAAAGTCCGTGCATCAAGTCCGTACTACTGTATATGCACAACGGCGACGCAGACCAAAGACAACGGTCGCATAAAAAACGTTACAAAAAAAAAGAAGCACAATCGCCGAGACGGGATGCCAAACGATACATTACGGTTTATCTCGAATTTTACGGGCCCGTATTAGTGCAAATGGGAACTTTGTGATGAGAAAACTGCCGTCAGACGTAACGCTATATGGACTATATAACTGCACACGGATCGTACAAAACGGAAATAAATGTGCCAGAACGTAAATAAACAATTACTACCGTTGTGGTCATAGAACATTTGGTGGATATTGAAACAACAAAAATAGAAACGGTTACAAAAATGCGTCACCGTCTTTTCATATTATGTATTTCTATGTGTACGATTACTATTATATATATGTAATGTGTACATGGACTATAAAATAATATGAATGCGTTGGTAAAATAAACAGATACGCATTAAAACCCAACAATTATTATGAAATTTTTACTAAAAACGTTACAAAAATGCGACAGAAAAATAAAAATTGTCCCAAAATTTAGTACCTACTAGGAGATTTATTAAAATTGATATAAAACATATAATACCATAGGTCTATTTTGGGATTTATCAGCGTATCGTACATTTGTCGATACGGTTCTTATTTACTTACTATACGGTTATTATTTTTTTGTTATTTAAATATTTCATGTTATATACACAATTTTATCCTGCGTGCTTTTATTGAAAATCAAAAACTATTCATTTACAAACAATTACGAAGTATAAAATATTGACTCTTTTAGAAAAACTATAAATATTATAATATTGAATTTGGGGCATTGCAATAATATTGCATTAGTGAGCACGGGATTATTTTTATAAAATGGTTTGGTAATACATTTTTTAATTTTTTATTTGAAGTGTTCAATCTTTGACAACGTCGAAATAAGATACGGCCGGGAGGTGCGGATTTTAAAAATATTAATGATATCGGATCGCTATTGAAGCTTTTAATCTACCGGTTGGAGAGTCCGGAATAATTACCGTGTTTGTTATAATTGCTATACGATGTCGGGCTAGCTTAGATCCAGTTAAGCGGCAAAAGCAATTTATATAGATTTTTTTCATTATAACCATAAAAAATAATAATTACATTGGCGAGTCTTTGATGTGAACCATCGCATAAATAACCATAACATTAAACCGACCATTATAGGTTAGCTCGTAAAAATATTAGATGTAAATACTGTGCGAAGATAAATATAAAACTTATTAAAAAATCTACAATGTTATCGACGGCAACTTTGTATTTGAAAACTGCAATGTGAATCGTGTTTATCTTACCTTCACGGTTCCGGCGGATTATGAAGGGGCTACAGCACAAATTTCCGAGGAAATGCTGAACCAGTGAAAAGAGAGCTTCTAAGAAACCTGCTGGCGTTCAAATACAACTTCAGTCGTTTAACTATTTAAAACATAATAATAGTAACGGTTGAGGAATAACAATAGCTAGGATAGGCTTGGGAAAAATAGCTGTGGTGCAAAGTTAACCGACTTCCTAGAAGCCTCTCTCTCGGTATTAGTTTTTTACAGAAGAAAGCAATAACATAAGTAAAACATATATTTTGAAATCATGGATTTAAAACAATTCAATAAATCTAGGAAATTTAGCAAAATTAATAGCTATTTGTTTGTGTAATAACTATAAACAAATTGTCCAATCAACAAGGTCCGATCCCAACTCTTTAATCATTTATATTATATGTGTACTCATACAAGGATATGTTTATAGAAGATTATTGTATTAAAGATTTTAGGCAATTTTATTATTACAAATATTCTACATTTCAACATGTTCTGTTAGTGTAGCACCAACAAGATCACAGTAGATACACCCGTGTGCCATGTATTAAGTTAACCCAGTATATTATACCGTGATCTCATGTCACACTGAATGGTGTGTCAGATTATCTGTGTAATAAATATATAATAAGAAAAATGATTTGTTATGGTTGGTTATAGCTTCAAAATTTGGATTTTACATTATTTCTAATCTATAAAATAATGATATCTTTTTCAATATAATCCAAAATTAACTTAGAATCTTTTATCCAATAGTTTTTATGTTTTACTAAATACAAAGAATTATTGTAATTTGTACCCCAATTTATAAGGTAATATTGTATATTTTTTAGTTGTAAAATGTAGATTTCTTTTATGTCGAACCTAGCTACAAGCACGATGCTAAATTGCCTATACAGAGCGCCGTCTGGTTTTTGTGTTATTTCATAACATGATCTCTAATATTATTAACATCTAAAAGCTATTCTACTATTCTGAAAACTTGGAATAGAATTTGAATGCATATTTGTTGCAGAAAACATTGCAATTTTATTGAGCACACATCGTTTATGACACAATAAAAAGCTTAAAAAAGTATTAATACTGTTGCTGTCATAATGATCACTCTTAATAAGTTGCTTTATAGCGCAATAGTTAGTTTTCATAATATAATGCTTTAACAACTAAATTAATCGTTATCACATGAGTCATATTGTCATAAACAATTATTTTTAGAAAAATCGAATATATTTTAATATGGTTATACACAATAGAAATCAGTATTTTCTTATTAAATAGGCTCAAACAATTCTATTTTTTTTTTACAATTTCAACAAACACATTTTAATTTTAAATTAACATTAATTATAACTTTTTCACTATTACACTAATAAAATATTTATATTCGTTTATATTACTGTCGATAACCTTCATAAAAATATAAATTCATTTATTTTCATATTATTGAATTTAGTTTTAGCATTTTATCATTATACAAATAGATGGTATTCCTGTGAAGCTATAAAAAAAAACTTAAAACCACAGTTACTTTGCTATCGGTGTACAACTAATAATCAGCTATAACATTGCTGTTCTTTGTCTAAAAGATGTTCTGTGTTGGTAGGTGATATACTTACTTAATCTTTCTTTTGCAATTTTCCGGTCTGCTCGTTAATTAAATATAAATGCAAACGAAAACATTCCAAGTGTGTATTAGCAACCGAGAGAGAAAAAACCCCGGAATTTCAGTTAACGAGTATCTCACTTGTTGCTGCATACCCTATATATTGTACGCGCTGTATAAACGTGACCCAACAATATTGTAATTTATACGGTATTTTGCACTATGTATTCAGTTACACGGAGAAGCAGCACTGGGGAAAACACCTTTGGGATCGTTTATCACGGGTGATTTGCTTTGAGGAAAAAAATAAATAAAAATACCAAATAGCCGTTTTACTGTATTTCCGACAAACGTGTGCGGCGGACTGCTATGCTTAATCCGTTTAGCGCCAAACCCGACCGTTTAAGACGTTTAGCCAGCGACTTACACAGTTTTATGGCTTGCATGTATAAACCGTTGTCACGCCGGTGGTAGTATATGGTACCGGCATTATTAACCTTGCATGAATTATTGCAATATTGTTTTGGGTGAAGAATGAAACGTATAAATTATATGAATATTTTGCCTACTTTTCATCGTATATTGGTGTGTATGATATTATATTATATTATAGCATAGCATAAGATCCAAGATGTGAGAAATTTTTTTTGTCTAGTTGCAGTTCAATATCGATGTATGAGTCAAAAGTACAAGTCGAACTAGTAGAATTAAACTGTTTTACAATAATATAGTTAAATAGTTTTATTTTATACTCGGTATCATTTATTTATATTAATATTTTAGTGAAACGTTAAAAAATTTTAAAAATGAGTAACTGATTATATAAAAAAAACATATTTATTTATTAAACAAATTACTTGGCAAATTATGTTATTTTGTGAATATTATTATTACCCTCGACATTATGTGGTATTTCTATAAATTTATATCAAAGAAACCTGTTCGAATAATAAATCTCTAAAATTTCAAGTTACCTATAAGTACTTCCTTGTACTTTTTTTTGCATTTGATTAACAGGAAATATTAATGTTTTATTAAAAAAATTCCATCAAAATAAAATTTTATAATTAAATAAAATATTTTTAAAACTGAAATGGGACAAAATTACTTTCTGGATATTTTTCATAATAAAAACTGTTTTCATCATGTTACGGTCAATTGAAACAAGATTAAAACTTAATACATTTTTTGGAATTTCCAATTTGAATAGAATGCTATCGGTTAAAAATGGTTAGCCGTGGCTTACTCTTTCTTCTTACGGATATTCATTGGAAAACGTTAATTAAAAAACGTATATAACATTATATATATTATTTATAGAAAGCACTATAGCGAGTATTTCTTGTAAAACAACAAAAATAATTATTATTTAGTAAAATTATTAGAATATAGTGATGGATGGTATTGAATGCAAATAAAACAATTTTAATTTACAATTTATTAATGTTCAGTATTATACTTGTTTTCAGTTCCACCTGACCGTTTGAGTGTGCTCAATGAAAAAGGAGCCCACATACCTCATTATATACTGGGACCATATAAAGAAGGGACATCTGTCGACATTACTTGTATTGCCAGTGGAGGTATTGTATATTTGATTTAATAACTTGTATACATTATGTGTAAATTGTTTTAAAGCTTAGTACCGAAAATCTCTTCTTTATCGTTGTTCGATTTCGAACGTCGTGACTTTCATGCAATTATGTTATTTCGATTGGATACATTTCCCCAAAACTCTCTATTCCCTGTATTCCGGATGCTTTCTGACATTGACATTTGTGTGAGGATTTTAATTTGGTCTATATAGCGGATGGGGGGTCTGCCTCTGCTCCTCTTTCCTTCGACTTTTCCTTGGATAATGTCCTTTTCAATACCATCTCTTCTTATCACGTGGCCAAAAAATTTTAGTATTTGGCTCTGAATTGTGACCAAGAGGCGGTCTTGGGCTTGTATATTAAGTTCCAGTATTATAGATACATTCGTTCTATGGTCAGTCCATGGAATTCGTAACATCCTTCTATATGCAATCATTTCAAATGCTTCTATTCTTCGTTGACACGATGAATTTAAGGTCCATGATTCGGAGCCATATGTCATTATAGGGAATATCAGTGTTTTCATTAGATATAACTTCGTTCCTTTTCTGATATCATGATCCTTCCATATTTTGACAAGTTTGGCAATCGCAGTTTTAGCCATACCCACTCTTCGTTTAATTTCCTCTTCCGAACCACCTTTATTTGATAAAAGTGCACCTAGATATATTACACTGTCTTTACGATCTATATTGGGTATGAGGTTAAACGTGAGATGTAAAGTTTTGGTCCTATCAATAGCGATTATTGAGCATTTTGATCTATTAAGTTTTAGGCCTGCCTAAATTTTTCTACTAGTTCTAGAAGGTTGGCCATTTCCATTTCTGTTTTTGCTAAAAGCACCGTAGCATCAGCGTATCTTTAATTGGAAATTTTTTTGCCACCAATGGACACTCCTCCATTCCATATGTTAAAGAGTAGTGGTGATAATATGCAGCCCTGTCTTACGCCTTGTCCTATTTGAAAACTCTCAGAAAGATCGAACTCCATACGGACATACGCTTGGTTATTGGCATATATCATTTTTATTATTGCTATTAGGTGCTCTGGCACTCCCATTTCTTTTAGAATGAGCCACAGAAGATTCCATTTAACGGTGTCGAAAGCTTTAGTATAATCTAAGAAGCAGCAGATAGCAGTAATATTATATTTGTAGTATTTTTCTATTATCTGTCGGATAATTAGGAGTTGGTACCTTGTTCCTCTTCCCGGCACAAACCCTGCTTCTTCTTGAGAGATTTGTGGGAGCAGATATGGTTTTAGCCTTTCTTGTATCACATATATCATGATCTTACTTGTATGGGGAATTAGGGCTAATGGGCTTCTTATCTTTGAAGATGATTTCCATCTGTTTCTTACCAAAATATAGTCAATTTGATTTCTATATTGACCGCATGGAGACTGCCAGGTATATAGTCGGCGAATATGATGTTTAAATTTTGTGTTTGTAATAAAAAGGTTGTTTTCTATACAGAAGTCCAGAAGTCGATCTCGCTCATTTCTTACACCTATCCCATATTTTCCTACTACAGATCTCAGATAACCCTCGTTGTTAGTGGTGCCTATTTTCGCATTAAGGTCACCAGTCACGAACAATAGTTCTTTAGTTGGAATGGTTCTAACTACTTCAGTTAACTGTTCATAGAAATGATCAATTTCTTCTTCAGACGCTGTAGATGTTGGAGCGTAAACTTGGACAGTATTGATATTTACTGGCGTCGCTTGGAGTTTTACCGACATTATTCTACCATTAAAAGTATTGTAGTCTAGAACTGTGTTTTTTATATCTTTGTTTATAATTACTGCTACACCATTTCTGGAGTCCTGTTCATTACTTGAAGAGATGACTAAGTTACCATTTATCGTAGTAAAATGGCCAATTGTTTTCCAATGTGTTTCTGATACACCTGTAACTGCAACATTTTTTATAGTGTTTTCTAGTATTGGTAGTTTTCCTGGTCTATTTAATCCTCTGACATTCCAGCTACAACGCTTAATCATTGTTGGATTGTATTTATGGTTTCGTCCAGACGCATATTTTCTATGTAGAGCCCGGTTGCCCACTCCATCATAGCCAGTAGCCCATTTAACACAGTCAACCCTGGAGTCACTGCGCCGATTGCCAGTCGGGTTGCATGGCCTATTCCCTTCATTATAATTGTATTCTTGCATGTTGGTTTTCATGGGAGTGATTGACACGGTAGGGTCCCGCTTCTTTCCATATCGCAGTGTTACAGAAGGAGATTCTTCTTGTAAGTGTGCTTGATCGTACCGATGTTCGTCTTACTGACTGTCGCCACGATCATCTAATAATGAAGCTGCTGCCCTTCATTATGGCTATTGCGATGCTGTCGCATCGGGCGATGAGGACGCCTTATTCTCTACGCCATTACCTACTGGAATCATCCGCCTGGAACTTTTCGCCAGTAGGAGCTCGGGGCTCCGGGTTCGCCAAACCCGTAATACTAATTAATTAGTATCCCCCTGAGGGGAATATCGAAAATAAATTAAGAAAATATTGTACAAATGTTCGATATAATGTAATATTATTCTAATTTATTATTGAAAAAATAATTGTGTCAGTGGATTTTATTTCGGGGGTTGCTAACTTTTAATGTACCAAAATAAGTAAAAAAATGACATAATGCACTGTCATTAATAATTTATAGTTTCTGAAGCTTCGAGAGGGTTGCAGCCCCCTCATACCCTCTCCTAAATATGACACTGAATTTAATTATTCTCGATTCTAATGATCCATACTTTTTAATTAATTAGAAAATAACCAATTGACCACTATATAGCATAATAGTACAATAATAATAACAGTAACTATAGCACAAGGAGAGCTATAGTTTAAGTGTTTAACTGACGCCTCTCGAATAAATGTAATACATTTTTTTTTGACATAATCTTTATTTAAAGCTCGCTCAATTTTCGTATTATTTCGTATTCATATTATACGACAAGCGAATTTAAAGAGTCTTTTCGCAACAGGCTGTTACTTTCTTCAGTTACTTTATATACTGCTACTGCAATAGAAAATTAATGCTTACTTTAGATTCATTAGAACATCTGGTTGCTGCTACCACTGTGTATGTGTTACCGGGGAAACTAACGAGGTTGCAATTAAGTATAAATAGTAAACAATGTATCAATCAGTGTACATGTCATTCTTGTTTGACTTTTAATACGATGTAAACACTTTTACTGTATTTTGCAGCAAGCAGCTTGTTCGTTATTCATATTAAGTTTCATACATAACTGGCGGGCATTAACATTTATTATCAAAGTTGAAGTATTGTTTTACTAAAAAAAGTTTACTAAGAAAAAAAACAGCGATAGTAAATTTTTGCTGCTTAAGTTAAAAAAAGCTGAAGAAAACATTTTTTCCTTAATTGTTTTCCATTGAAAAGAAATTATTTTGAAATTTGAATTTTTTTTTCGGACAACGAAAGATTATTTAAGAGAAATTTAAACTTTTTTTTATTGAATCTGGTTAGTTTTTTCTTTATTTAATCAAAATAACGTGAAAAATAATTCAAACATTTTTAAAAATTTTTTGTTTGACGGATCAATAGGAAAATGTATTACTATTTAATGTAACTCTCAATGTAAACTGTACTATTAGATTATATGAGTTATTATAATATATTTTTTATTAACAAAAAAAAAAGAAGAATTACATGAGAAACAAAAGAGGCATATCATATTTTACGTAATGAAAAAACATGGGGTACCTACACAATTTTTTATTTCATACGACCTAGGTACTCGAGTTCTACCACACAGTTATTAAAACATATACGAGTATATGTGTTATGTCGGGGGGTCAAAAAAAAATTAGTGTAACGAAAAAAATGCAACGTTTTTTGGTGCTAGAAACTTGAAATTTAAACCATAACTCCCTTATAATGGTCTCATACAAAGTAGGAATTTAGGAGTTGAAATTCATCCCCCTTTTAGCCCTTAGAATGAAGCCATAAGACATTGGCCTGTCATAAGACTTATTAATAATCTTATGTTTTTCCCCAAAGGAAAAAACTCCTTTTTTTAAGGTATAAAATGGTGACGTCACACTATTGGAATACGTCATCGCCTTGTTGAAGTGTGCATATTTGCCAAGTTTTATTTTTCAATTTTTAACATTATGTAATATAACCATTCCTCGTGGGTTTCCGTGCAGCTATTGTGTACAGGAACAACGTTTTGAGGTATGCAAACACAATCGTTGACCCAATTGTCACCGGGTTTAGCAGGTAGTGATGAAATGTTACTAAAGGGTGAAACATCACCGAAGGGGTTACTAAAAGTAATTTACACCGTCCGGGAAAATTGATTAATATTTCCAAGAAAATAAAATGAAGTGTAACATGAATAAATAAAGGTAACAAGCTAAAATATTGATAAGTTACCCAGAACAATTATTATTGACATAATATAACCAATTCATAGCATAGCATAGCAAACAATAGCATAAATCCATACTAGACGGGGAATTTTCCGGTGCTAGCATTAGGTATGTAATTATACAGAACATTTTTTATTTTCCGTTTTATACGCTTTCTCAGAATTCCGATATGGTTTCATTCGATATCCGCTCGGTTTTCTAGTTAAATAACTAATGTTATGTGAAGGGTCGCGGAAGCGGTTATTTTTTTAAACAGTAAAGTATAACAAAAATAATTGGCTAAACACGTGTTTTGACATATTTATTTATATGTATTAGGCATGAGTTCTAACTAGTTTTGCAAACGAAAATAACTGTACAAAAATATAGGGATGTCATCCCTTATTTATAATGTTTGGTTTTGATCATTTTTTTTTCTGTTTGAAAGAGGAAGGCTTTTTATACTTCAGTTTTATCTCCAGTTTTTTATTTACCAAAAAATTAAGGTAAATAAATAAATATAAGTATAAAATTCCAATACTTATTACCTTGCATAGAAATTAAAAATTCAGTTAAAAGCCCATACACCTTGTAAGATGTA